ACTCTAAAATAAATAAATTTTTAATTTCATATAATATTTGTTTTTTTCATACCGAGCGATTTGTTCACGACAATTTTCACTTTTATGTTTACATAATTGTACTAAAACAGGAATGATTCCAGCTTCAACTAATTTTCGTCGACGTTCATCAAAAAATATTTTTTCATCCTATATATTAAATCACATTATATTCATTTTAATTATCTTTCTTTTTAATTTACTTTTGGATGTTCTTTCGGTATATGTTGTTTAGCATAAGCAGCTAATTCAACCATTTCTTTATCTGGTTTTCTTATATCATATGTATTAGTTAAATTAACAAATATTGTTGTTATCGAATATAAAACATGTGCATCTTGACATTGACATAAAGTAAAAAGTGCTTTTAATGCTGATAGATTATTAACAAGTTCTTCTTTAACATCAGCATCTAATGATAAATAAGCCAAACCATCAGCTGACCAACGACGAATATCAAAACTTTGACTTGTTGTTAAAAACCTGAAAAAAAAAACTCAAGACGATATAAAATCAAAACAAAAAAAAAAAAAAAAAAAAAATTCTTCTTTCAATATACTTGCAACATGCACGACTAAGTGTTTGACATGAACCTTCGGCAACAAGACTTGTACTTGTATCTGTACCTTTACTTGATGCAATTTTTGATAAACCCTAAAAAATTTCGAAATAAAATTAAAACATACAAATCAAATATATATATATTTATATATATCATACCACAAGAGCAAGTACTTTAATATCTTCATTTGTTGATCGATAGAGATTTTTAAGAATATCAGCACCTTGTTGTATAATACCAGCTGCTTTATCTTTCTTTGATGCTGATAAAACAATTGCTTCAACTGCAATACGCTATTCAAAACAACCAAAAATTGAATTATAAAACAAAAAAAAAAAACAAATTTTCAAATTACTTCTTGTATTGGATCATTTGAATCAGCCATTTGTATCATTAAATCTACTAAATTTTCACTACCTAAGATTGCATTACCAATTTCAAAAGGACCTTGTAAAAGAACAGACAAAATGGATATTGTTCGTACGCGTGATTGAATATCATCCTTTTCACGTAAAGCTCTAAAAGTAATAAAGCATTTATTTGTAAAATTTTCGCCGATATAATAGAATCTTTATATTTAAGACAAAAGTCGAATAGAACGAACATTTTTCCAAAAAACATGCTCACGAAAGAAAGACTCCAAATATAAATTATTAATCGAGTTCTTCGTTCGCTTAATTTTTCAGGACTCATTGAGATTAGAAAAATCCTTGGAGAATTCGTCCTTGCTAAAGTCAAAGCTATTTTACTAGCTTTTCGACTTTTAGTCACGATAAATAACATATGTAAATATTTTTTTTTCTTAAAAATATTGAAATATAATTATTATGCTGAAAATTCGAGTCTTGTTTTTTTTTGTTTTAAAGAAAATGATGAAAGTCAATCCAAAAATAAAAGTACAGTTTTTATTCGCTTATATAGTTAACATTCAAATAAACTTACTTAATAAATTCTATACATTCATTATTAAATTCTTCTCGTTCTTTATCTGAACATAAATCATGATAAACAACGCTAAGTACACAAGAAATATGCATTTTAGTTTGTTCTGTTATTGAATATGATTTTTTATCATTATCTGGTAAATTAGGTACCGTAGCTGCTACGCGAAGTACTTTGGGTACACCTATTAAAATAGAAAAAATAAATAAATGAATATCCATATTGCACTTGCAAGTAGTCAGTTGAAAATCGGTTAACTCGAGAACAGCTATTCTTATCCAGCCGCAGTTTTCAAAGATAGAAAAAAGGAACACGCAAGTTACTACTGCATATAGAATTCCATACGATTTAATCACTTATTAGATTCGCTGGAAAAAAAAACAGATTATTTTCAATAGCCACTGAAGTTTATTCGTTTTTTTTTTTATTGAATATTTTCAATTTAATGTAAATAAATACCTGAGACAATAAATTTACTAATCCAATTACAACCATTTGCTCGATCCACAAATTTAGCAACAAGATCAAGACAACAATCACGACCAATAGCTGAACATGTTTTATCATCAATTAATTCATTGAGTAAACGAAATATATTATTAATAAATTCAATTACAGATTGATCTAGATTTAAAAAAAAAACAGAATGACTATTAAATACGAACAGAAAACAAATTAAATTAAATACCGAAGTTAAAAGGTACATTTATAGGTTTTTGAATTTTTCGACGATTTTCAAGATCACATATTGACATAATCATATTATGAACTAATATAGCTGTACTTGCAGGAATTTCTGTATCATTCATTGCTAAACAACGAGCAAATAATTGAAGACCAAGTTTATTATAAATGGTTTCAGCCTAGAAAAAAAAAAGAAGACAATATGTATATATATTTTTATTTGATAGACTTTTTCAATAAGAGACTTTCTTTCATAAATTATGATTAAACAATGATGAGTTTTAAAACGCAATTGTTAATAAATAAATGAGAATACAACTTCTCTTTCAAAAGGATGGAATATTAGATTTTTAAACATAATATATCAATCTATTTTTCCGTATAGTGTAAGATCAATTTTGTAGTGCCACTCTCTAAGAAAAGAATCTTCTCAACTTGAAAATTACTTTTAAGGTCGGACTCTGTACATAAACTAGACTCTAGTGAGACATTAAAAACTACAGAAAGATATGAGCGCACCTAGAACTATCTATTGACATAATTTCAATAAAAATGGCTATAAATATATATTAAAGATCTACAAGTCCTTATTCTTCTAGAGTTTCCAATACTTTACTGAGGTCTACTTTATGCACAGAGTTCAAATTCAAAAGTAATGTTCACGTTGGGAAAATTTCCGCGTAAGTACCTTTGAATTATAGTATATTCTTTGTCTTCTTTCATTTTAAGAAACAAATACATAACATAGAATGCTGAAGAAAAAGCTGTCAGCTCAATTTCTCAGAAATTAAAATGTGAAATACGACATAACTATTCAATTTTTGATCTCGTACACTATACATCTATGTAGAATAAATCGATTTTGAATTTCAAAATAATAAATATGATATCCTCTTATATATAATTCTTACTCGTTGATATGAATTTCTGACAATTGAAGCCAATACTCGGATAAAACCAAGAACAATAATTCGTTCGTTTGTTTGAATAAATTCTTTTATTTGTCGTAGATCACAATCATAAGTAAGAATTCCTTCTGCACCAGCATCTTCACGTGATATAACAAGAAGATTATTTAACGCCTGAACAAAAGAAAAAGTTCCAATAATTAATTAACGACATATCTTATATATACATACAGTTTCTTGATTAGATTTTATATTCATAATTTCAAACATTTGTTGAATTTGAGATGTTAATTGTGTTTGTTGAGTATGCTTTAGAAAATGAAAGAAGAATTTGAGAAAAAAAAGAAGTCTACAAATTAAAATTCATTTATACTTTGCTTTGTGCACTTTCACGTAATTTTCTTAAAAGAATATTTGTTTGTTCACTACCTTTTGATGATATTGATATTAAACGTTGTGCATCTGATATAGCTTCATGTAATTTTCCTAAATGTTCAAATGCAGTTGATCGACGATATAAAGATTTTTGATCAGCAGGTGTATATTCAAGTGCTTAAAATTTTAAAAGACATAAGAAGAAAAAAAAAATCAACACTAAAACAATATTTTTACCTCGTGTAGCATCTTCAATAGCATCTTCATATTGATTTAAATTAATATAACATTGTGAACGATTACTATAACATTTTGTTAATTCAATTTTTATTCTTTCAGATAATGAAAGATTAATTAATAGATTTAATGCTTCAGTATATTGATCAATGGCATCTTGATATTTACCTTGTTTAAATGCTTGATTACCTTGTTCACGAAGATCTTCAGGATTAATATTATTAGAATTTGTAGTCATATTTTCTATCTGAAATTAGAAAATTTAAAAAAATCTATTAAACGATTTTTACTATGAGATAGATTATTATTTTGATATGTTACATATTTTATTTTATTTTCTGAAAATACTATAGACTTTAAACGTTATAAATCAAATTGAATGTCATTCATATTAAATAATATGATATTTTGTATTAGAAATAGAAACAAAAAATGTATGATTCATAAGTGAATCACAAAAATTCGAATGACTAAGGATTTTGTACATTATTGAAATAAATGAATGATAGGAAAAATTGAGTTATGATCAAAAAACTAAATGTTCAATAGATTTTGTTCTTACGTTTTTTTTTTTGATATTCAAATTAATAGGTAGTTATTATTAGGATTGAGATCTATAATTCTATATCGATTTTAGATTGAAACTATTCGACTTTCTATGTTAAATATAGTAGTATTGATTAGTCAAATAATAATATGATAGATAAGATTTGATATAATGATTTTATAGGCAATATTGATATTAAGACAAAAATGATTAGTCATACAAAAGATGGCTAATAGTATTTCAAGAGAAGCTGACAGAAAAAAACGTGTGTAATTTAAAAACAGCAAAATCGATATTTTCTATCGATTAGTATTGTTATAAAAATTCTTTTGAATTCAATAATTTAATCTCACCTATGTTAATTCATATATCCAATTGTTAATCCATTAGTCAAATGTTATAAATATTATTCTTCAATATATTGTCTTGACTTCGATTCATTTTATCTACACATGTAAAGACATTTGCCTATTTCAAACATTTCTAAAGTGATAATCTCTTTTTTTTTCGCCCTTTTTTATTCGTTATTTTTTGTTT